CAGTTTTGTGCAAGATTTCAAGCTGTTGAGATAATTGCAACTGGAATTTCCTGTATAAGAATTCTGTTTCCATCTTCTATTTTGTCCTTGCGCTCTGCGACGATCAATCCATTGATAAGACATTATTTATTTTTCGAGCAGACAATTTCTGGGATAGGAAATCAATCATCAAAAACCAGATACCAACCAATCTTGGTGAACAAGCTAGCCACATCTGACACAGCATTCTCTAGCTCTGCTCGAAGCTCAAACGTATTCTCCATGAGTGCTTTCTCTGATAAAAAAAATTAGATGCCAACGTCAGAAAGCTAATGCTTTTTTGGGCCTTTGAGAAAGCTAAGGTGAACAATACCCGAAATTAAGAACAATGAAGTCAACCAATATAAACCAGATGGAGAAATTCACAACACAAATTTCTCTATCAGACATCACTCTTTCAGTAGCACTCATCAATACACGTTGAAATTTTTTTGATGATCGCTTGAATGTTCTAATTTTTTTGACAAACAGAAACGACATACATCTGGTAAGAAACGAATATCCCAGGAAAATCTGGTAAGAAGTAAATCCCCTACAATGGAAACTCCCAAGAAAAAAATACAGCCATAAAATCCCTCCTAGTACAATAATATATGACATGAATACCCCAAGAGTTGCACTGTATGCAGAATCTACAAATGCATGAAGTAACAACAATGTACACAGGATACTTAGCTCACCAGACTTAAGAAGATTGGATATAAGATACTCCTTTTCTTTAATTCTTGCATTTGCCTCCCTATGTCTTTCTTCAAGATCAGCCAATGCATGTTCTGTTTCGTGGAGCTTTTTCTGTGAACCAATAGTAAGAGTATTACAATTGCATGATTAAAGAAGCTGATGACAAGCATAGCTCAACATAAAGTCAGAAATATCAACACTAAGATACTATATAGTATAATACCTCAGACTTTTCATGCTTATCACTTAATTCTGAAGTTAATAGCAGCTGAGAGTTGTAAAGTTCCCGAAGCTCCATTAGTTGCTGCTTCCAAGGCAGAATGTAATAATCAATCAAACTTTTCAGCTGTAATAATCAACCAAAATTTTAAACCTCAAATATACCTTGTCCCTGGATTCAAAATCAAGTTCCATGCGCTCTATTTTTTCTGTCATTGCCTGAAAAAGCGACAAACAGAAGAATCAACAAACCTCCCAATTACAGGACACTTAAAAGTAAATGTAGTCCATTATCAACCTAAAATGGCAGAACTAAACCTTCTTCTCAGCTTCTTCCAGTAGATAACGATCTCTTGGTATGTAGATTCCATTTTTCTCTCTGGCAGCATACACCTCTGGTTGGAGATGTAGGAGAAGTATATAAAGCATGGTCAATAAAGCATGCATACCCAACTTATTATTCCATTAGATACTTTGTTGAACAAGCATAAATCTGTAAGTACATGATAGAGAGATACAGAGAGCATCCAAGCAAGAAACAAGTAACAACCTTGTTTAAGTCGGTCGATTTCAGAATACAAATCCTTGATCATTGCAGATTTCATCATCTTCTGATTAATCTGAAATAGTAATCAAATGAAACTATGATAGCAGGTTCATTTTTCACAGAATACAAAAAGGAATAGAAACCCTGGAAGAACAAGGTTGAGCTCAAACCAAGGACCCCATAACTGACCTCTGGTTTGTTCTTAATATTTTTGGCACGGTGCGCATAATCTAACGTGCTGAGCGTCTCTTCCAAACAATGAACAGAGGGTGATATCGTGGCGATAATGCAGGTTTTTGTTTTCCCTCCCAAGGAATCTCTCAGCAATCTTGTTAATTTACTATCCCTGACAAACCAAGAAATACTTGTTAAGCAATTGTCAGACCTGTTATGTTTGGACAAATCTCCCAGATGCCAACTGCATTTACTGAACTAATTAGAATCATACCTATATGGTACATGCCCAGAGTGCTCAACTAGTGCATTTATGACACGACCAAGTGTAAGCAAGCTTTTATTGATCTCACCAGCTTCCCTTGCCCTACCCTGCAAAACAAATCTTCTTATTAATATTATACTGTCTAATGCCATTTCTTACTTTCTGAGGACCAGCAGACTCATGAAGCTGAAGATTGGAGAAGATCCTTTATGGGATCTGTACTATTAATCACAGTACTCCATAAAAAGTGTCACTCTATACATGTGCTTACTATTTTGAACGTCAGCAAAGATGCCCTTTTGTTATGCATCATTACAATATCAAACTTTAAGATATAACATTGTCTATCACTTCTAACCTCTCTTGCACCCGAGCGCGAGATATTCTCTGAGCCAGCTAGATCAACAAGATTGAGCTTCCCACATTTAATCATTTCCTCCCCCTCTGGAGTACACTCCTTAATGTGAATTGTTATAGAAAATATCGAGTGGGAACGGCTGCTTTGTTTGTTGAGAAGGGTCTCTGCTGTACGCCTTTTAGCAGAACCTTTCTCCAAAATCTTATAAATTTCATTGGCTGTGCATACTATTTCCTCTTCCAAGCCTCTAACAAAAACACCTCCCCTTCCATCCTCCATAAGTGCTATTGGCTTCTTTGATTTGTCATCTGTGAATTTTGAGCATTCCTCTATAGCCAAAAGATCTGATATTTCTTCATTGTAAAGCTCTAGAAACGTAACTTTCATGCTATATTCGGCGTTTTGAGCTTCTAATATATCAAATATTTGACGAACAGCTCTAGGAATAACACCCGCATCATTCGGAAACTCTCCGTTCTGCATATGGTGAAAAAATCAATCAATTAAAACAATTTTCATGAAATTAGTATAAAGCACAGAATCATATGTTGTACAATGTTGTAGTAAAATGAACCTTTTTTCTTCCTCCTCCCTCCATTGTGTATGTTTTCCCTGTTCCTGTCTGCCCATACGCAAAAATAGTGCAGTTATAGCCCTCGAGAACTTCAAATACAGTGGGAGACACTGCCTGCTCATACAAGTCCTTTTGTTGGGACATCGGACCAAAGACCTAGAAAGAATTATCCAACATTACATTCTTGTCACATAGAACAGATGAAAATAGAAACATCAAACACTCTAAGTCTAGAGGCACAATCCGTGATGATTGATACCTTAGAGGTTTCATCACAACTACTCAATAATTTATAAGAAAACCACAGGAGAACCATTAAGAATTTCAAGTATTGTGCGATGGATTTCTCGGCCACTGTAAAATACGAAATTTACTTTTCTTTTTCTCATCCACCAAACAAAGAACGAAGAACGAAGAACGAATAAGAATAATTCGAAAAAAGACGTCAAACCTTGTCAAATAGAAATGTTCTATCGATCTGCTTATTAGCTATATTCTGAATCGCAGAAACTTCTCTTCTGTTCTCATTACATGAAACAACTACTGGTGTATGCAATCTCACTTCATCCTCATTCAATGGCCTACAAATTCAAACCATCGCAACTCAGACACAGTGATTAGAATCAATACACTCACTCACAAACCAAACTCAGATTCTTAACTCAACTCACCTGCACCGGACAATGACCTGGACATTCACGCCTTTATCTTTCTCTTGCTTCCCATTCACATTCCCCTCCCCTGATCGCAGATCTCTAACCGCCTTTTCGCTCGACCGCGGCGTCTGCGATGGCGATAACGAAACCATCCCTCCTCTTCTCTGTTGCTGTGACTGTGCAGACTCCATTTACATAAAATTCGTTTTCTTCAAATCTCAAACTTCACCTGGAAACAGTAGTCCAATTCGATGGTTGCTCACTGAGTCAACCCAAAATCTTAAAAATCGATATACCCCAAACTCTACTAAAAACAATTAACAATGTAAAATGTAGACAGAGAATGTAAATTTTTTAGGTGAATCGGAAAAGAGCAGAGGCAATGAAACAAATCAGAACCGGATCGACAATGAGACAAAGAAATCGAAGTCAAAAGTAAATGTAAATCACAAGATGTACTAATTTATATGTATTCAATCTATACGTATAGCATACAGTGAATTCGATGGCCGGCCGTTGAGAACTTCAAATGCTAGCGACTATGACAATGGTGACGATTTTAGACAGAGAGAGAGAGAATATAAAATGAGACTCTGACTTGACAGAGAAGCGCAAAGATGATTTGTTGATTTTTAGGTTTAGAGAGAGAGAGAGAGAGAGAGAGAGAGAGAGAGTGAGTGAGCGGCAGTGAGAAGATTAGTTGGAGTAGAAAAAGAAACTCAAAAAATATGGCCGTTACGGGAGCGTTTGAATTTTTTAGGAGAGATCTTGTTGAGGATGACGGCGTTAGAAATTCGGCGTTATTAATTTTTGACCGTTATAGCTGGACATGCCAAAAAATAAAAAACATTTTGGAAAAAAAATTAAAAATAATAATTGACGACGGTATTGGATACGAACCATAAATCTAGACATTCTCGTTTGAGACCCGATAAATTCCTCATGAATTTTTTAATTTGGACTGATGTTTTAATTTTAATCAGACTGGAGAGAGAATTAATTGAAATATTTTTAAATTGACTCAAATATTTTTGACTGTAATATAAAAAATCTATTTTCGTTCATTAATAAGAATTGTACATGCCCATATATTAATGCTACATTGATTAAAAATAGAGATTATAACAACTGACATGATTATTTATGATAATGTCACTTTTTTATCTCTATTTTTGATTTTATTTTTTGATCAATCTAAGATTAATTAGTCATAATATAAACAATCCAGCTTCTATATAATAATTCAAATTAGACAGAGCGTTCCTACTAATGAGCAAACGGGTGGTCCACATCATGCATTTTGTCGTTATACAACTCTAGATTATATACTTCGGTTCCATCTCGTATGTGCTGATTCGGGAGCTTAGATTTGATATGATTTTCTCAGTCAAAATTTTAACAAATTTTATGTAAAATTTGCAAAAGTTTAACTATTACATTAATTTGTGTCTAATATATATATATATATATATATATATATATATATATATATATATCTATATAATAAAGTAGTTATAATTCAAATTTTAAAAGATAAACAAAATAATTTTTACTATTCGCGGTTGAAATTTTTTTAAATTTTATTTTAAAGTTAATCTAATGACTAATATTAACACCCTAAATTTAATAGGAGAAATAAGGCGCTAAGAATGTGTTTGGAGTGACTTTTTTAAAAGTACTTTTAGGAATTATTTCTCATAAGTACTTTAAAAAAAAATAGTGTTTGAAACTGCCTCACCACTACCTCTACCATCGCCACCGCCACCACCACCACCACCGCCACCGCCACTGTCACCACCGCCGTCGTCGCCACCATCGCCTTCACCACTACAACCACCACCAACCACCTCAACCACCACCGCCCCCACCACCACCACTACCATTGCCACCACCACTACGGTCATTGCCACCCACCACAACTATCACCGTCTTCTACCACCACCACTATTGTCCACCATCTATCACTCCCATTACAAAATCGATATTTAAATTCATTTATCTCTTCTCTATGTTTGTAATTTGATTTTAGATATGAATACAAATATATTTATTGTTTACCATTTTTTATTACTCTGTGCCTTCAGACACAAGTAATAACTAGTATAATAATAAAGTACAATACAACACAAATCTCAAAAGATAAATAAAATGACTTTTACTATTCGCGTTGAGATCTCTTTAAATTTTACTTTAAAATTAATCTGATGGCTAATATTAAAACCCTAAATTTAATAGAAAAAATAAGCCCTTAAGGATGTGTTTAGAATAATTTTTTAAAAGTGTTTCTAGAAATTATTTCTCATAAATATTTTTTTTAAAAATATATTTGAAACCGTTCCACCATACCTCTACCACCACCACCATTACCACTACCATCACCACTGCCACCGCCATTACCATCACCGCTGCCGCTGCCACCACCACCACCACCACTATCGCTACCCTACCATGCCTGCCACTCCACCGCCGCCACCACCACCTCTTCCACCGCCCATCACAACTACCACCACTGTCTCCACCATTACCACTACCATTACCGCCATTATCCCACTACCACCACAACCCCCACGACCATCACAAACTACCACCGTCACTGCCCCCACTACCACCATTACCACTACCACCACCTACCACTGATTACTATCATCGTCGTCCATTGCCACCACCTACCACCATCATCATTTTATTCTTATATTTATTACCATTACCACTATCATCTCACTATAACCGTCGCCCCACCATCAGCATACACAACTATTATTGTTGCCCATCGTCACCCATTACCACAACCCACCACCACCCGTCATCGTCCACCACTGCAGCCACCCACAGTCACCTACCCCCACCACACTTACCATCACCGTCATTCGTCACCACCCATCACACTGTCACCTAAAAGCACTAATCGTCGCCCACCACTGCCATCGTCGTCCCACCGCTGCCATTGCCAACCACATCACTGTCGTCCATTACTTCTCACACCCATCACAACCACCACCACCGTTGTCACTCACGGCTGCCACCATTACCACGGTTGTCACCACCCACCACAACCATCATCGTCTTCCATCATCACCACTGCCGCCCTCCACCACTAACACCGCTCACTCCCATTACAATTAGTACTTAAATTTTTTTATCTCTCATTTATGTTTGTGATTTAGTTTTAGGTGAGAATATTAATATGTTTAATGTTGACAAATTTTTTTTATTACTCCATGCCTTCAGGCACGGAAAATAATTAGTACAAACATATGGGAGCCAAATCTCATGATTGATGGGATGAGAAGGAAGATATGAAATACAGTAACTAATATTTAGGAAGATTTATAGTTGGAAGGAATTAAATAACAGGATTTATAGGCATTGTATTAAGGATTACTAATAATCCGTGCCTAAAGGCACTAAGTAACTCCAAAAACCTTGAGTATTGGTTTTGTAATATAAATATTTTCAAATAGTACTTTATCTTTTATTATTTTCTTTAGTTACATAATTCAAAATTAATTTAAAAACACTATTTTCTAAAAAAATGACAAAACTTCTCTAAAAATACAACACTTAAAAAATATCAATATGTACACAATTTATATATTTTATTATTATACCTAAAAAATATCTTTCTTTTTTGGGTAAGAGTCGATATTAGCGTGTGTGTTGGTGGGTGTATAGAGAGAGTGTGTGTGTTATATGAGAGATGTAATAAACTTATGAGAGATGAGAGTATCATATATATATATATGGAGAGAGAGAGAGAGAGAGATTAGAGTTTTAATGGGTATTAGATGTATTTTGTTATTATATAGGTATATATAGTCGTCCAAACCAAACTCTCCAACTCCTATTACTTTACATTTAGGATAGAGAGAGAGTATGTGTGTGTGTACGAGTATGAGATAGACAGAAAGATAGAGTCATATAAGAGATGAGAGTGTGTTTTTAGGATAGAGAGAGATGTAAAAAGAATGAAAATCCAATTAGGATCATATAAATATAGATATTGATATAGATAGATAGATATATGTAGGATGACATACATGGACAGAGCTCTCAATTTAAAAAAAAATATATGATGTGTATTTATATTTATATATTCTAAAAATTATACACATTTTTTACTTGTGCTCACTCTATAATTTTTTTATTTCAATTATTTAGTTTTTCTTATTATAATAAGGCTTTTTTCAGACGGCCTTCATTTTACTATGAGTTTTTACAAGTAAAAGTTCTTTCAATTGATCTTCATTTGACTTTATTTTTAATACGAAAAATTCTCTTTTATTTTTATTCGAGTATTGATTATAATTTTTATTATATATCAATCGATTTTAAATTTTTTTAGTGTGTTTACCTCTTAAATTTTAATTTAATAGTTTTACTATACTAATATTTTAGTGATAGTATTTAGAACATTGTTTATTGAATAAATTTAATGGATTTTTAGTGAATAATTGATATTTTTTTAATTATAAAAATGACAATTATCTTCACTTTTTTACAATTGTGATAATTAGTCAATTTTTTATACATATACAGTATACATTATTTTTTGGCCTTTTATGTTAAATAAACTTCACGTATCAAATATGATATAATAAATATAAATATATTTATTGATTAGGAGGAAAAAAATTAGAGTATATAATTAAAGTACCCACCTTAAATAAAATTCTTGGATTTGCTCCAGATGACATATGTGTAAGAGGCAAAAAATGAGACCACCTCCTACAAGAATGAAAAATGAACGTTTCTAATAAGAGTGAGTTCTGAACTTGATCTCTCAGTCTTTGCTTCTTGCAAAATAAACAAACTGCTCAAGATCGAAGTGTTTCAATCGAAGGCACTCCGATTCTTAAGTCAGTAACAGAACTGAGACAATTGCAAAAAAGACGAGGAAAATTCAGCATACCTTTCACCTTGGTTTCTTCTGCTTTTTATAGATCACTGTTTGATTAGGGTTTCTGTGAATTTTGATTCAAGGTGGCACACCTTCCTTTAATTTAGCGATTCAGTTTGGAAAGTTGCGGATATTTCTCCAACAATTCCTCCTGATATATTAAATTTTGTTGATTCGTTTCTCCGAATGCCTAAGTTATAGGCGAATTTTTATCTTTCCACATATTGCTGCAAATAGTTCGGTCATAATGAGTGTCGAGCTCATTGATCAACTTGGCTTGATAAGAGTCGAACTCTTAATTGTTTGCCAAACTCATTAATCAGTTCGGCTTGGGTAATTGAATGGTTGATTTCTTCATCATGTGCCTTGTCTTGTCATCTTCACGTGTGCTCGTTTAATGTCATAACATGTGTAATAATTGGGCCCAACCCTTTCATTTGCCCCCAGAAAATGTTTGATAAACGTCTTTCGTCTATCATCCATTTTATGCCTTTTCATCATCATTGCGCATACTTGTGCCATCCCCCTTAGTTTTGGCGGCACGTTTTCGCATTTAAATATTGCCCTTCAGAATTCCTCACTTTTATAAACGGTTTCTCTTCGTATTTTCCTCTACCTTGCCTTCTTGCCTTCAAACCCATCTCTTTCTTTGTATCTCCTCTATTTTTGCACTTCATCTTCTTCAATGGCCCCTCTCAC